TTGATGCTCACGCCTCGCCTCACAAATGAAAAACATCTCAATACCCAATTGCATAATTTTAAACATTAGTCAGAGACATGCAGGTAATTTACATCTATGTTAAATAACATGTGTACTTCTTGATGCATTTGTATTATGCAATTAAACATTTTTTTATACACTTACATGATGCACACGCACTCTTCCAATGTGCTAGCATGCTTTTCGATGAGGACTCATGCCATGCATTTACATGCATTCCAGTTCATTTGAATAGCATATTCACATTCTTCTGACTTTTATTTAATTTCTTGATTTTAAATTAATGGCACACTTTCCGGTATAACCACATGCTTCTCGAAGTTGTTGCAAAATTTTTTATGTGATAAAACAATTCTTGTGGCAGCACGCTTCATTTTTAAAAATTATATTTAATATGTGCAAGATTTTAAAATACTAAAATTTGAGCATTTACACAAGTGTTTGTACTGTGGGAATGTGTGCAACATTTCATTTTTAAATTTTGAATGCAACACCTTCTGTCTGCTTGTATTTATATTGTGGATCATATTGCATTTGTTAAAGGCTTATTAGAGACCTCTTTCATATTTTTAAGATTGCTAAAACTTTATTTTTAGGCCATTGTAGAGTATTTTGCTCAATTAGAGTGAGGCAATATTGACCTCGGTCATAGGTGAGCTGAGCTACCCTCTTCACTATAAGTCCCTTGTATACTCCCGTAGGCAAGCTATTATGTTTGCTACAAGTCCTTTGTTTATGACCATAGGCAGGCAGGCTGCCATGTGCATTTAAAGTCCCCTTTTTGAGTTCATTTTGTGTTCAAGCATTGCCTTTTATTTTGCAAACTTTAGGGCTTATTCCTCGCTTGTTCATTCAGCTTGAATTTCAGCAACCTCCTAGTGTCTTCCTAGATGAGCTACCTTGTTCGCTATTAGTCCCTCGTAGAAGCCCATAGGCAAGCTATCTTGTTTGCTACAAGTCCTCTATTTATGCACGTAGGCGGGCTTATGTGTGCATTGTAAGTTCCCTACTTGAATTCAATTTGTGTTTGAGCATTGTCTTTTACTTTGCAAATTTTAGGTCTTATTCCTTGCTTGTTCATTAAATTCAAATCTCAACAGCACCCCGGCATTTTTGACGGATATGCGGCATCATCGAGAGTGCTAGGTATGTCTACCACACTATAAAAAATGTGTATGGTCGATATCGAGGACACCTTGGTCGATGTCTTTAATTACACCAGACTACTAAAAATGCATATGGGTCATAAGGTACCTACTTGCAATTATTTGAATTTATTATTATTTATTTTTTATTATTTTTAATTTCCTTTTAGGTCCTTCATTGGAAAGTTTGATAGCCTTTCTGCATCACCCCCACATAAAGGGCATCATTGAGAGTGTTATGCCTATCCACCACCCTATGAAAAGTGTGGATGGTTTGTGTCAAGTAATATCATGACTGATTTCTTTAATCCCACCACGCTATAAAAAGTGCGTATGGATCTTCAGATACCTATTTTAAGACTCACAAGCTTTCCCTGCCACGCAACACGAAGCTCATACAAGCACTTAAAATTATTATCTCCATGTTATGAAAAGCGTCTATAAGACTTACATGGCATGACGTAAGAGATTCCCCCTGCCATGCTACAAAAAGGGAGTACAGGGGGTCCGTTCATCACACCGCACGCGTCACTAACGAGAATTTGAGTTTTAATGGGTTTACAAGTGTTATACCTTTATGTATGAGAGGTGATAGGGATGACGACAATGTCAAGGATAGTACCAAGTTACGAGGATTGAGGGAGATACACAATTTATTAAAGTTAACTTTTCTTTTCTCTTATTGATAATAATAATAATAATAATAATAGAGAGAGAGGATTGGAGGAAGAGATAGAGAGAGAAAAGTTTCTCTATTAAAGGGAGAGTTATACCCTCTCTTGGAGAGAGTAGAGAGAGAGAAGCAGAGAGGTAAAGAAGGCTAGTGAGAGGGAGAGTAGAGTTGTGGCAAGTTTGCTAGTTATAGATGGGGAGAACTGTAAGTGAAGATGGTGTGCTTAGGTGGGTGAGGTTAGACTGGCAACTGGGTAGTTGGTGGTTGATAGGAAAGTTGGGAGGCGATCGAGGTGGGTTTGGGGTTGCTAGGATGTATAAGTAGAAGTGGTGGCGAGGTTTTCAGCAACTAGTTCAACAACAGCATGTGCAAGAGGGTATGTAGGGAGCTGTTGTGCATGTGATACAGGATGAGGTAGATTGGTTGGTAATGTATGTGGTAGAAGTGGTCCAACAAGGGGCTCTGTGAATGAGTTGCATGAGTGCCCGTGAGAGGGGATTTCATGTGTGGCTCCTTGCGTGCACAGCAAGACTGCGAGCATGGGAGGGAGATTGGTGGAGGTATAGGTGAGGTCATGAGGATTTGGACTAAGGGGGTGACCATGAAAGCTAAAACAAGCGATGGGGTTATGCGGATGAGTAGAGAGGAGTTCGGCCCAGGCGGAGAATCGGGTTGGATTAGCATGAACCAAAGAGGAGAATAGGAGGCCCCTAGGCCTTTGAGTGAGAATGAGGGGGGATCTCACCAATGGTTGGCTATGGGTTTGAGGGGTTAGAAGTGAGCAAGATTCAGTGGAGGTGGCTATGAGGTGTGCAAAGGTTTGGAGGCAGCTGCGAAGGGTAGCATGGAGCTCGAACAAGGATGGAGATCGTGAAGTGTTGAGAGGTGAATGGGAGTGACATGCTAGGAAGAAGAGGCAATCAGGAGTTAGGGGGGTTAGCTGGGTAGTTTTAGAGTTTATTATTTTTTTCTTTACTTTTATGAAGCGATGTAGACAAGACAGTTGTGGGCTGTAGTGCCAATTTGGAAGGATAGACCAAGATATAAGGATAGGGTAGGATAGAATTTAAATAATGATTTTTTTTAATATAATTATAAGTATCATATTTTTAAATTTAATAAAATAAAATATAAAGAGATAAAATACACGTGAATCAACACCTCTATTCAATTTCTTATTTTTCATGTCTCGGTTTGCATGTCGTTGACTCATGCATAAGCAAATTTTGTTTATCGACTCGTGCGGTAATGCCCTATAAAAAATTTTCGACTTTCATACGTAACGGCTAAGTCCATTGAGCAAATGGACATCGTTTAAGAGACTAAACACACTGTCGTGCCTGCACACCATCATCTTTGCCCGTCTTCACTTTGATTGATCGCGAGAGGTTCTCTTGAGCAAATTTGACATTTTGATCACAACGGCATAGTCCATTTTACGATTAGATATTGTTTTGTCAATTTTTACACAGCGACCCACCATGTTCAAAGATTTCCTTAATAAGGGCTTAAAAAATATTAAAAATTGTGTCCTAAAATTTTACAAATATAACATTATCAGTATATGCTTTCATAGATTACCTTCTATTCTAGCTACAAGATTGAGCCAATCCACAACACCTTTTTCCATCGGCAAGGTAACGTCAATTTCAACCAAAACTTGGGCCATATAAGACCTCAAAAGGCGAGTTGTATCAACATCAACTTGGTAAGATTTTTTAAAGATAAATCTCAAGAAATAGAAAAGGTGGATTGGTTGAAGAAATGTAATGGAAGCTGAGGAGAATCTATCCAAATAGGTGTGATTGGTGGTTCCAAATATGCATCCAAATTGGAAGATCACTTAAGCATGCTCATTGAAAAACCACTAACATCTTAGGTATGTCAAGATAAGAGTCCAATATAATTTGGATATGAGGATAGCCCAATAATAACATGTTGAGGATCAATAATCCCAACTAAATTGTCATCAACCAAATAGAGGTCTAACAAAAAATTATAAATGATATCCACATTTAAACAACCTAAGACATTTTTCTCCACAAAAAATGAGCACATGTTTTCCTTGATATGATGACGTAAGCTTATGATTTGTGGAGCTGAAGCTTGATGAAAACTAAAAGAAAATTTGACAAACGGAGAAGATTGCAGTCCAAAATCTAATGATCCACACATAAAATTAATTGAAGATTGTGAAAAACAGAAGGCACGAGATCTTACTAAATATGAGCAACTGAAGGAACCTCCGAGATAATAAGAGTTATTGGTACAAGAGGAGTGGATGATGGTCAAAATGGAGGAACCATCAGGACCCTAAGAGCATTCAAGAAAAGAGAAGATTGTGGTGGAATTGGGATGGAAAAGAGGGAGAAACAATGAGTACAGCTCGAAAGCAGCAATGAAAGTAGTAGAGCAGGGAAAGAAGCCACCCGAGTAAAGTACAACCCTCAATGAGGGCGGAGTGCCAGGCCGCACCATTAGGCAACCCACCACATGCTATCAGGTGACATTGTGCATGCAAGCACAAGCAAGTAAACTATATGTGTATGAGTGTATGATAGCATTGCAGCCAGGGAGCTTGCAAGCGTGCATAAACAGTGACAAGATGTGAAAGCACAAGGGGGATGGAGTAGCGGGGCAAGGCACATGAGCACAGGCCAAGCATATGCAAGAATGGAAACCAGTTCAAATGCAGGGACGAGCAGTTAGGGTGAGCATAGAGAAGGGATGTCTCATATTAGAAGTTAGATTATAGAAATATTTGTGAGCTTTCCATATACCATAGTGGTTGGAGGCAAAAGATAATATCTACTAAAGTTTAGGTTTGCTCATTCATTATAATTATTTAAAGATAATCATTATATCTACATTATCTAGGTTTTGATTAGATGACTTTGCGGCAGAATAGAACAATATAAGTTTACAAGATGCTTTGGTGTAGATTTCATGTTCAATTCATTGGTTATCTGTATTCAAATATCTTCTTGTAAAGGCTATAGCATGGAACGTTGCATCCAAAATTTATTAAACTTTTTGTTGAATGCCATACAGACAAGGAGCAGAAATGCAGTACCAATTATATGCCATATTGGCAGAGGACCTTTTAAATATCAGGAATAAAATATAAATTTACTTTAAACATGGTAATATATCATCCATACCTTTTCCAAACATTTCTTTGCATTGTTATAGTCATGAATCAAATAATATACATTAGCAAGATTAATCCATAACGGCCCAGATTTAGGATCAACTTTTGCTGCTGCTAATAAGCAGTCCCTTGCCACAGTTGCAGCTTCAACTTCATTTGGATAAGCACCTTCACCAGCATTGGTACCAGGTCCTAAAATAGAGAGGTAAATTAAATGATAGATCACCATAATCGATTTAAAAATTAGCACAGTTGACTAAAAGCCAATTATATTGTCGAAGTAGCCCTACTCATTCTTGTTGAGTTGGGCTTTGATTTCTAGAATTTCAATTGCATAATTATTAATAGATTAAAAATTGTTAACTTTTCAATGACCACAGAGGATACTCTAATTAATTTAGAGAAACAAAACATGTTTCCAATAAAAAATTGTTAACTTTTGCATTCTATCACTAAGAGTAAAGTCACTCATCCACCTAAACATCCTCATCTCTGCAACACTTAATTTTACGCTTCTCTTTTAATGGCCAACATTCCGTGTCATACAGCATTGCAGGTCTCACCACAATCTTATAGAATATCCCCTTAAGCTTGAGGGGTATTTTTCTATCACACAACAGGCCTGATTTATTCCTCCACTTCAACCATCCAACTTGAATTCTACTAATAATATCCACATCTATTTCACCATCACTTTGAACAACAGACTCGAGATATCTAAAATGTCTACTTATTTTAATGACTTGATCGTCCACAATCACAATCCCTCTATTGGATCTATTATTACTAAAATTACACTCAATATATTTAGTTTTAAATCTACTCAAATGAAAACTTTTAAACTGCAAGGTTGACCTTCATAATTCAGTTTTCCTTCAACTCCCTCTTTAGTCTCAAGCTCACAACTAGAAAATTTAAAATTTAAGGTGGAAAGTTATTCTCAAAGATCAAATAAAATGTATAGCAATGATGTAATAAGTTACTTTTAAAAATGTTAGAATTAAACAATAAGGTTATTCTGGCTCCTAGAACTACACAAGCCATTTTATGGGTTCACACGAAACCATGCCTTGAAAGTACTTTCCCTCCAACCTACGGCTTACTGGCTCAATTTAAATGAGTTCACTTTGATAGCACATGTTACAGATGCCTTGCATTAAACTCTACCAAAAAGGAATAGTATAACTGAATGTGATTAAATGGTATGATAATTTTTATGCAGGATGATTAAGATTCTCATATATACATGATTCAACATAGAAGGATTTATGAATATAATTGATAAATCAAGTATGACATTAGCTAGAATAGTATTGTTGGCATACAAGACTTAATATTTTCGTAGTGCATAATCAGTCATTTATCTTGAATATGTTATGTGATCAAATTGCAGAGATATTATATGATCATGCATGTGGCTTTACATGGCATTGAAGAAAATTCTATACTAAACTTTAATATTTTGCTGGATGTTTGTTGACCTCCGTATAAGATATCGGGAGGGGTAATTAACTATAGGGGCTTGCGCCTATAGGAAACCAGAACTCAGATCATAAAGTCCTCACAAAATGAAGGCGAAATCTCTGGTAGTGTCTTATCTACAAACCCATCTGCCTTCCAAAATTTACCCCGGAACTTAGTTCGTTAAAACTCCCTTGCTGAATAAGAAACGCGAGTGGAGGCCGAGGCCGAATTTTCGGAGCCCACAATGTTATGCTCAACATCATATGTACCTGCATATTTTTGCTTTTCAAGCAAAAGTAAAAGTATTGCTTAGGAGTAGGACTATAGACTCAATTAATAAGAGATGTGTTCGTTGAGATATTTTTGGACATTTATATGTGTTAGGATATTAAAATATAAGTTTCTATTATAGATGCTAATGGCTGATGTATATATAAATGATGTGGGTCCATAATGTAATATTAATTCTTGAAATAAAAATATGTATTTGATGTATATGAACTTTAAAGTGACAATTGTTTATGGTTTTGGAAGTTTCACTCTCAGTAGCAACTCGTTATAATATATGTTGAGGCGTGATATGCTGCAAGGTGGCCATAAAAACTATCCAACTTATGACAAGCTATTTGTCTGGCATTATGTGGCAGAGTACTGGATGAATAACTTTTAAGGAGATAATTCTGCATAGAAAATGTCAGCCACTATAATACCTTTAGGCAAAATCCAATCTACAACAAGACACGCTCATTAAGTGAATTTCATATCTACATTAGTTCGATCTACCGACCAAGTACAATAAATCTAAATCGCAATGTTTATTGGTCAAATATGCACTGAAATGTGCAAAGGTTTATGAAAGAATGTCTACTTTACAACAAATTGAAGCCTTCAAGCAAAAGATGGGTTTTGTACACACCCCTACCAATAATCAAAAAGAGTGAAGTACTTAGGAGGATTACGAGACATATGGCGAGAGTATTACCTATACTTCATTTTTTACAGTTTCAGAATGATGAGCCTAATTTTGTTTTTGATGACCATAAAATAATAGGTAATAGCAAAGATGTTTTCCCGACAAATTTGGAAATACTTCAGGTTGCCTTCATCCATTTATGACAAGGGCAGTACGTTTATCAATAAATTTTTTAAAGACCATTTGGGGTTTTATGGAGACCAAGCTGAAGTGCAGCACCACTTTTAACCCAAAGATCTAAGCAGATAAAGGAGGTGGATTGCATAACGATTCACATTCTGAAAAGTAATAATTCACGGCATCCAAAGACTTGGGCTGAAAGTATTCCATACACGCATTTTGCCTTTAATAGAACAGTACATGTTCAACATTAAAGTTACCTTTTGACGTGTGGAACACTAAAGTCACCTTTTGACGTGTGGGGGTGCTTGCCACATAATTCTTTTGACTTGGAGTTTCAATTACATAGAGTATGGTATTAGCCAAGAGCATGAGCTACAGTGAGCACAGAATGTACAGTGATTCCTCAAAAGAATTAACAAGATTAGCCTAGGGGTGAAAAAAAAATTTACTTACTCGACAACAAGCTGCACTAGATTTGAGGATACTTACAGTAATTTTGAAAGAGCAAAGGAAAGAAATCTTAATCAGCATGTAATATATACTCTCTCACAACCTTATGTCTAAGACACTTGGAATACTTGATCAAACCCTTGGTTATTTGATCCATTATAACTTGGATAACCAGAACTACGGAAAACTGAATCAAGTAAACATTTCCTCTTCACCGGAGAATCAAGACCACATTTCAAGCATGCTTGAATTTGATTGAAAGTTCAATGAAACCAAACAAATCTAGCTCTCGTACATGTCCAGGAGACATGGAAAATCCATATAAAAAAAATACTAAAAACCGTTGGCCAAAAAGTAAAATCAATTATCTGCGATGCTCCATAATATTGATATGCATGTTCAAGACAACTAATGAGTCAAAAATATTAATAAGTATATATAAAATAGTATATGGAGGTACATGGAATTCCTAGCACAAATTATAATGAAATCTAACAAAAGAAGCAGCAACAATGATAAGCAACCCAAATTCGAGTGTTGTACCTGCAATAACACAACCATATTTACACAAAAGAAAGGTGGCATAGTTGATCAGAGCAGCAGGATGATTTTGGTCCTTCAGAATCAAATCTTGAAAACATTTTGCAGAAAGTTCCAAATTTCCACTGTAAGAAAAGCATTTATATAACATATTAGTATAAGCGTATAAACGCATGTCACAAGAAAAAGAAACTAGCAAAAAAATAGAAATACAGAAGTTTATAGATCGATCTTGATGTAATTCAACAAAATGTCTTGTTGCAATATGCACTATGATCGAGAAGAAACCATGGCAATCTACAGCCTTCTAGAATTTTAGCATGCATGAATGTTGTAGTAATTGTTCATATCATTTTAGTATTGTTTATGCTTTCTCCTTGGTCAAGTTGATGTTTACAATTTGTATGGGTCTTGACTTAAAAAAGATTTAAGGAAGCTATTATGATAAACAGTTGTTTTTAATTATTAGGGAGATGATTGTTTGGATTAAAACTAGAATTCATGCATGTAGGGTTTTCAATCGAACTTTTTATAGCTCTGGAGTTGTGTGTGATCCTTTTCTTTGAGTTATTCAAAAAGCAGTCACAAAAAAGATCATCTAAGATAACCACACATCCTAGTCACCATCCCCTAGCTTATACCTAATATAGCATTTCAATACTTCTCCTCCGTACCACCAACCTGCAGGCTCACACTATATTCAATAAAATACCATCCTTTCAATAAAAACTCTAGTTTGTATTAGTGCTCATGTAAATATAAATCCCTACAACTATGTTTGTTCATTGATGGTGGAACATCAAAATAATATATTGATGATCATGCTCTAGTCATATTTATGGGCAGTCATGTAAAATCTTTAGTTTTCTTTATTTGAATTGTTATGGGCAATGGTGTCATGTTTCATCATATGATATGGTTGGTATTATATTAAATATTTAATGATTGAATTGTCATATGAATAAGGATCATCTAACATAAATAGAGATACAAGGGTCAAGTAACACATAGTATTTTGAATGAAAATTATGATCATTGCATTGTTTCCTTTACCTCCCAAGAGCTGTACTAACTTATCCTCCAAAATCCCTGGTTTGATACCAATTCTCTTCTAACCTTCTATTCTTCCCATTTCACTGTTCTTTTCTCTATCTATGTAAAGACTCCTACTTCTACTATGACTGCTTCAAGGCTTTCACAAACAATATGTTGACCTTCCATTGCTAAATGGTGTTATAGCCCAATTTCATAGTAAGCATCATCACGGTTACGATCAACTAACATCTAGGCATCCATGGAATTCATAATGGTTAGTGCTTCCAAATTTTTTGTTTCTTAGCTGTTAACCAACATGATCATTTCCTTTTCTCAAAATCCACCTCGAAGGCACACATTAGTCATAACCCTAAACTTGTTCTAAATGACCCTATCATAAATTAGTTTCTATGTAAAACATGGAATTTTCCAAGCTCGAGCTTAGACTGCACCCAAGCACAGAGCTATACCCAATAGCAACCAAGACAATGGTGAAAAATATATCCAATTTATGCCCATAACAAAACTCAACTTGTGTGGACACTGCACCCAGCTACACCCAAATCTACAACCAGTTGCAACCAGTCAGCCTCAATGCCAGCAACCCCTTCTTCAAGCAAAATCCAACTTGGGAAAATCTTGCATGCAAGGTTATTTCTACATAACTCTGCATCAAAGCTCACCAAGCTGGCCTTCATAATCTTTTCAAGTTTCTATAATTCCCTTTCTATTAACATCATCCCTATAATTTTGAGTAATTTGCATGATAAGCTTTTACGTTAAGCATTTAGTTTCTTTATTAATTTTTCATAACAATCATTCATTAATGTGCAAATCATCACACCATCCAAATTAGCAAATAATATTAGCCCCCAATAAAAGAGATGCAGGATAGAATCCAGCATCTCCTAGAAGCATAATGCATTAACTGAATTAGATGTCTCAACAGGTCAATGCATAGAATTAGATAAGAAGAAGTAGAACCTTTGAAGGTATGCAATGCCAAGATTAGCAAGTGAGTCCAAGTAGTCTGGCGTGATAACCAATATAGAAGATAAAATAGTAATTGCACTCTGAAAGAATTTAAATCATGATAAGTGTATATGGATTGATGAAGAAATCATAAATCAACAATCTCTAATGGCACAGCTAAAAGGAAAGAAGTAAAATAAAAATAATTAAACATATAAGAACCTGAAAACGACCGGTTCTAAGAAGTATAAGCCCAAGTGTGTTCCAAACTGCTGCTTGCTTGGCATCTAAGTGCAATGAATCTCTCATCCTTGTAAGAATCTCATCTAGTTCACTAGGTTCCAGTTCTTTATCTGAGCTATCACATGTGTTTACCTGCAAAATGCACTGTAAACAAAGAAAAGATAAGCGTGAAAACAACTTAAGTCAACTGACTTAAAATATGTATCAGATAAAGCAAAACAAGAAGAAAGAAGAATAGTGTAAATTGTAATAAAAAAGCACCTGTGCATGGTGATTGAGTACTAGAGAGAGCAAATCTGGTCTGCGAATTTCTTCTTCATCCCTTTGCAATATCTCTGATGATTTTTCAAATGCTGCAACTGCCTATTGAGTACTGAGAATGACCAAATAAATAATATGCTGAGAATTCAGAGTAAAATTGTCATATAGGTAAAAAAGTACCTTTTGAGGCTGACCCAATCTCTGGTACATCAGACCAAGTAGGAAGTGTGCATGAGCATTTTTGGGCATTTTTCGTGCAACTTGAACCAAACCCTGAGAATACAAAGGCCACGCTTCATTGTTGAATGGCATTGAAAACTCACCAATAGTAGCTTTACAAACTTAAAAACGAGCACAAACTCCACTTTAAAAGGACCATAATGAAGCTCGATAATATCATAATATTTTACCTTAAATTAGAATCTAACCCATATATTGCTAATAGGATCGATTTCAGCTATCAAGCAAATTTTGAGAAGAAAATTCATCAATCAAATTCACAGGCATTAAAGATAACAAGTTAAACAGCTTCCTTGTGGCTTGAAGAATGACTAAATGAGTTGTCATGCCTCATATTTAAACTCCTCTTACTTCTCAGGAATACTTGAAGCAATCTCATGCAACAATGATAGTAGATATGGAGCAAATGTTACGTGGACTAAGGAGTTTGCACACCGTAAATTTGTTTATTGCACTCTTTGTTTTCTTCATGTTATATTTAGTTTAGACACTATGATTTTACTTCTTTATCTTCCCTCTACCATAAGGACTTTTGGAAGCCAATCATTAGGTTTCTTTGTTTGAATGGGTTGCTTAGTTTAAACTAAAAGGGGTGAAAAGTACTCTAAATGATGGGATTCTAAAAATATTAGTCTTTGATTTGATGCAAAAGAAATATAGGGTTGCACACTTTAGTTCGTTTTCAATGTATTTGGAATTCATCTGATTTTGGGTGAATTTTTAATACAATACTAAAGTAAAGGCTTATTTGCTTATCGCCGCTCAGTTCATCCACCCGCCACAACCCGCCCCTTTCGCCCACTATCACTCGTTGCCAGCCATCACTACCACAGATTGTCAATCACCGCCCGCTAACACCGCCATGGCCATTGCAGCCACCACTGCTTGCCAACTGTTAACGAGCCTCCATTGGCCATCACCATCATTGAATTTTTTGTTGTGTTCGTTTTCCTTCAAATCAAACACAAAAAGTAACCACCTACGTTTGTTTTACAGTTATCCCAACAACTCTAAATATTTCAAATGCATTGCATTTGTTTTACTATGTATTTCATTTTACTCTACTTTCCTTTTTTAACAAAATAGACAACCCTAAATGAGATGTATTCTAATTAATTACTAAGCATTGATTGGCTATTTGTAAAGTCAGTGCAATGAAATAATTCTTTATTTTTGTTGTTGTCTGATGTAAAGTTTAGAACCGAGGGCCTACAAGCAAGGGCGCAAAAAATAGAAAGTATGATGTGGTATGAGAAGATCGAGAAAAGGTAGTATGTTGTTGAGATTATATCTGACATTGTGTAGTTTATTGTTGAGATTATATTTAATATGCTAAGAAAATATCTATAGAGGATCCCTATTATGTCCTTAGGACATAAAAGTTTTTATACAATACAAATTTCTATTTCTACTTTTATTATTTTTGCATTATTACTTATAAATATGATCCACATATTAAAGTCATCACATGACTCAAAATATTATCCATCTTGTTTATTAAAATAAGGAAAAAACCAAACGACCAAGAGAGTCAATGGGTAAAGGCATATCGAGAGGCAAGAGACAATGAATGAAGGCGATGAACAAATGAAGATCACAACCAGTATTATCATATAAGATCAAGCAATAATGATAAGCAGACAAGCAATGCAATAGATGGAAAATCAAGATATAAGACTATTTCACGCTTGAACAAGAACGAAAAGGTGCATGATAGACAATACCATGAGGTGATGGCAGACACGTTGAGGGATGTGATGGTGATGCAAGTAGCAAGAAGAGGGTCAACATTGTAACAATATGGAAGCCAGACCTTGTGTTTTGATGATTACAAACATTATTGGATAAATACTTCTTATTCTTATTTTATACATTGCATATTTTTCTTATATCTCACTAACCATTTAAGGTACAGCATACAACAAGTAAAAGCAAGTTTAAGATAGTGTAGCATCAGTGTCTAAGTCGATCTGTGGTTGACAGAGTCTGCACTTCTAATTTTTCTTAAATCAATTTTTGTATCAGGTGTATGTTGGCTAAGCAACTATACACATACACACAAGGGGGAGTAAAATAATATTTTAATTTTTCAGTTAATCGTACTATATAATCCAAATCATACTATGCGATCCATTCAAATAGAAATTAATTAAAATATTTAATTCAATAAGATTAACAAAAAATGGCTATAACTAATCATATTATAAGATAAGTTATTTTGATAATATCCCACCGTCGAATCTATGTTACGTAAAATAGGCAAGTTTGAATTTTAAAATTTGAATTGGTTTGTGCTGTATGAACCGATTCATGATGTACGAACATTAATTAAAATTGCTAATTTAATCACATAGATTAAGGAATCGAATCAAGATCTAATCATTAATGATCATACTATATGATCTCGATCGTACTAGATGACAACATAAAGTTCAACTAGATGAACTCAGTTCTTCCTAGACGATATGTGTTTCGATATAACTAATCGTACTGCACGATTGTGAATTGTAATATACAATCTTCTACGAAATTAATCTAATCATATTGTATGATATATGCATCATAATGTAGGATCAGAAGACTTGATAATAAAAATTAGAGTTTTTGAGAGCCCACTATATAAACTCTTGTTATGTCTTTAAGGCAAGGGGGCTTGAGCAATCAAATATGTTTTCTTCTTGGGAGAGAGCTTGAAGAGAGTCTACTTCACAAAGGAGAGAGAGGAGGTGAGGTTGAGAGAGGGAGAATACCTTGAGGGAGTCAAGGGGTGTGAGAGGGGTCACACGGTTACTCCGCTAGCCAGCACCTTAAGTCCTCCAATACTGTTTTGGTGGAGCTCTAAGAAGGAGAGTCTTTGGTGCGAAAGATTTGCTAACCGAGGAGGCTAGGGATCAGCATCTCCGCTGGGTTGTGGAGACAAGAGTGGGCCATGGAGACGAGAGGAGGGACGGTATCTCCATCACTGCGAGGAGCAGAAAGAGGGTTGGCATCTCCGCCGGGTCAAGGAGGCGAGAGGGATCAACATCTCTACCGAGTCAAGGAGGCGAGAGGAGAGATTGGCAACTCTATTGAGCCGTGGAGGAAAAAGAAGGGATGACATCTCTCCCGGTTCAAGAGACGAGAGGAAGGAGATTCGTCGAAATCTGTAAAGGTTATTCTCTACCTATGGTAAGGGATAATGGCTTCTCCACCTAGCTATGTGTTGAAAAAGTCTGAGTTAGTGCAATAACTAAAGAGGATGACCTTTTGGGAGTAGATGTAAGTCGATTTGACCGAACCACTATAAACTTGATTTGCATATTCTTACTTTTATGCATTTTACTTTTCTTGCAATTTATTTTACCGCACTCTTGTTTTATTTTAATTATCTTTGTGAAAGAGGCTTTTAGTGAATGGTTTTTTATTGAACTTTGTTTTAAAATCATAAGAGAAAAATTATATATATTCTAAAAATTAAAAAAAAAAAATCTCTCTTTTTCTTTTGGTCTTTGGTTTTTTATTTGAATCTTTAAATCTCTTAAACGCTTTCGCATATTTCAAATTTTGCTTTTTAATCAAAAGATATTTTAAAAAGACCAATGCACCATCTGTCCTGGTGTGCCTTCCACATTTAAGTTCCCTCAGAGCACTTTCAAACATAGCAAGAAACCAAAGTAAAAACAAATTGCCCAAATCAAATGATTTTCTTTTTCAAGCAAATTAGGGCCTGCGAGCTAAAGTCTTAGAATCTCACTTTGCATTTACTTTTCCTTACACCACACATCAAAACAATTAAAATACATGCAAACTTCTTCCTTTAGACTCCAAGCACCCGCATCCAAATAGCCCCTTAAAAGAAAATTACTTACGGGAGTAAACCAAGCACTTCCTCCTCCATTGCAAACATCCCCTTAACAGGAAACAACTACATGCATAAGTAAATCAAGCACTCTTCCCCCATGGCACTCAAGTATAGCAAGTAAGATGACTGAACAAACAATATCTCATCAAGACAGAATTATTCTCACTAACAAATTAAGGAATATACGAAGAAATACTCACAGCTTTTATTGTAGTGACTTTTTCTTCGCGGGAAAGGGAGACGCCATGGCATTGTTGATCCAATTCTGAGATTCAGTTAAGTAAATCTACTTTATTCGTTCAATTTGCACTACCTTTAAAAAATCCTTACCTTCACTTTCAATGACATCAGGATCTTTGATTATTACAACATTTTTTGATTGAGTCGTGTCATCATTGCTGCTCCTGCAAGTACAAATGGAGTACTTAAAGAGAAAGTTGAAATGGTGTGTTAACTTTAACATAGAAAACAACAAAATTCATAAATGATAAAGTATGAAAATAGCTTTAGACATATGCAAATCATAGGCTTATGGTACTTTTTATCGTACAATTCTCACCAAATTTAAAATTTTGACAGGTTTCTGAACGCAAAACAACAAAAAAAATACCTAAATAAGAAATAATACTTTTTATAAGCAAAAGATAAACAGACGAAAAGATACACACATATAAACATTTGATGCAATTAAGAATGCCAAGGAACCATCCAAGTATTAGAAAACAAAGTATTACACATGCAAATTTTGAGCATTTTGATTCCAAAATGAAAATCAACTACACCGTATAACCAGTCACATTATAACATAAAGTAGATGACACAAACTTGAGACCACGTCACAATATGATTCCTGTATATGGAAAAAAAATACAATCAAGTTCAACAGCCAAAACAAGAAATGTAATTGTGAAGAAGGTACCCGGTAAAAGAGCAAACAGAAATATAAGAAACTATTTTTTTTGTGTGTGTGCAAGTGCTTGTGAATTGTAGCAAAGCCACCGTGCATTAGAGAATGAGGAAAAAGAAGCAGCAACCCCAACTCTCATGAACAGTAATTTGTGAGAAGAGGAAACTTTAGAAACAGCCACCTATTTTGGACAAAAATTACACATGATAGAATAACACTTGCTGGATCTTCATCGTGGAGCATTATGGTTATCATGTGAAGATGGCAGTAACATACTATTTCAAGGGAAAGATACTTGGCTCCTCATTTTGCAGGACCACATATCCCCTCATTCTCAAAGTTTGATAAATGAATAAACTCAGTTAGTACTCCTTTGTGCCTCTCCTAAAACTCTCCTCTAAAGCTCCCTCTATCTCTTTTAGACCCAAATTTATCCAATGGCGACACCTTATTCTACTACAAGTTAGGCTAGCTAGAGTAAGAGAATAGGATGAGAAAGTCAATAAGTATGAAGAGTAGATGGAAACTAAATAATATCTATGTACAGTGAAAATGGTATGAAGTTCAAAATATGCCTCTTAACAATTTATTTATTAGATTAAGAGGGATAAAGAAAAAGTTAAACCAAAATAATAAGGAAAATAATACATTATCTAATATATATAAATTAATACAGACATGTAAATTAGGCTAAAAGGTGCACACATGATTGTCTATCCTTGACAAGGCTCATGAGGCCCCTAGGGTGTACTCTTTGCGAGTCCTCAGGGCTAAGTGCCTCAAACGAGTCTTTCGAGGTAAATGCTTGGGAAGGGCACTCAAGGGAAAGTACGTTAGATGAGTCTTCAAGGGAGAGTGCGTTGGGCAAGTCCATGAAGTATGTTGGTGTTAACACTCGAAAACTCTAGAAGGGCCTCCTTCGCAAACTAAAAGCAATAGAGGCAAAATGATAAAAATCTAGCAAGGTATTTGAGGCAATGAATTAGGCGAGGTGGATAAGTCAAGTCAAGCAAATTTCGCTTCTTCTTCGAATTCTAGTGACATACCTCTTGTTGAAAGGCATACTAAGTGAGTATTCAAATTAAAAGAAGCTCATCAAGTCCCCTCTAACATGAGTAATCTACCTGAGGTGATGAGCTCTACTCACAAGGAAGTTGATCCAACTATGTAGCCTCATTCTCAATTAGAGCCATCAAGTACTCACCCTACGTTGGAGAAGGTTGGGCGGTAGCGAGTGAAAATTAGAAGTAAGATGGATTCCTTCTTTATTTTTGAGAAGTTTATGTATGTTGATCACAGGGAGCTAATCAAGAGAGCCTAGGATCTACTTCAAAACGAGTGAGATTTTAGGTTATCCACTTAGTGAGTATGAAGTAGTGGTTGTTACTCAATGGGCATATGGCTTGTATACTAGGACTTGGGATCTTCTTGATCAATTTCTTAAGGTTTGTGGGCTCCGAAAATTTGCGCCCCGGCCTCTCTACAACCCATTCTTTTTTGCCGGTGAGGAGAGTTTTAACGAGTTTAGATTCCATAGTAAATTTTCAGAAGAGATGTTGGGCTTTAGATAAGGCAGTACCTAAAGATTTTCCCCACATTTTGCGATGACTTTATGATATGAGTTCTAGTTTCCTATAGACGCAAGCCCCTATAGTTGATTACCCTTCCTGATAACGAGAGAGAACTTTCACTTAAGGCTAGTCGTTGAACATATACTTAGTATCTAGAGTATAGTAGTAACAGAATTAGATATTGAAAATAAAAAATTTATCACAGCACATTTAAAGCAGATGGTGGGGGGAATGATGATGAACACGATCAAGATCCCATGATTCTGTAGTCTTAGGCCTTATTGGAAAGAGATTGTTTGAGAAAGAATCATAGTGATATTCCTGATTAAACGTTCATTCTTTGTGATCTAAAGTGATTTTCAAATTTATCCACCTCGATAAACTACTACAGAGGTTGGAGAGATTTTCTCTTTAAGTTTAGTTGATTAGATTTCATTTCAAAGTTCAAATTTTGATTATTCATGTGTTTTAGATTTTTTATTGAAATCAAAATTCATTAATGGTTAATTTTGATATTTGAGAGTATTTTAAAAGGTGAGATCGACTGCTACGGTGAGTCGAACAGGGAGGGCTGCTGCGGTTGGTAGCTGAAGGAGATGTTGGGAACAAAGGAAGTTCAGTGCAGGTAGTTGAGGGAGTCAGTGTAGGAGCAGGTTTGTTGTCATTCACATGAGGGAGGTCGAGGAGGGCTGCTATAGTGGGATCGGTTGGGAATAGAAGTCAAGAGGAAGTGTTTGGACATGCTCTTGTGTGCGACTGAGAGGAGATAGGGTTATGGTTTGTTAGAGCAGAGAGTGGAGACAGGTGAGGCAGAGAGTGGGAGTGCATGAGAGAGGAAGTGGGAGTTGCTACTGAGGGCTTGTGTTGGTGTTCGACTGAGAGGGAGACAAGATGAATGGATAAGTGAAATAGGGAACATGAGATGCAGGGATAATGATCACATCAGAAACGACGCCGAATTGTAGGGTTTGAACAGGAATAGGATATATATATTAAATATTGTTAAAAGTAAACAAGAGTGTTAAACGATCCTCATGTAATTTACTCAATTCTCATGCATCTCGGTTTACATGCATTGCCTCGAAACTTGTGCAAATTTTACACTTTTCTTGTGCAAGAACCCGAACAATATTATAGTCGTTTCTAGATAATTTCAACATTTCGAACGCAACGGCAAAGTCTGTCTAGCAAACGGATGTTGTTAAAGCAATGTCACGCAATTTAACATTCATAGACGTCGATTTCGATCGTCATCACTCAATTCAACTACGATGGGTCACCCTTTAGCTATTTTTATGCTCTGATCGCATCGGTGTAGTCCGTTTGACGATTGGAGGTTGTTCGAGCAATTTAGTGAAGCATCGTGCTTGTCAAAAATCATGTTCGTCGATCGTTACTCTCGTCACTTTTGCTCGCACTGATTTGGTATATATGTGGAGGCCAACAAGGTTCCCCTTAGCTTTAAGATAGGGAATAATCTCTTCACAACTCTTCACTTCATATTATAGTAGTGACTCCAAAGGCGCAGGATTCTATTGGCCAACAAACAACAACTTTCTTAGGAGCCCCTCCTGCAGCAAAGATCTCATAGATCTCTTGGAGACCAACAAGCACACAAAGAAGTGATGCAATGTCCGCTCACTCAAGAACTCCTTACTTGTTCTACTATACCACCTCCAGTAGTTTAAAAGCCAAACCCTCCTAGTCATCGAGACAATGAGATCCCTGCACCTATGTCATTTCCATTAGAGGCTTTACCAATGTGAATTCAGGCTTTGGAGGAGCTAGTGTGCATCAGGGTCGAGTTTAAGGAAGGGAAGAGGAGGATACAGACTTTGGAGAAGGCCAATACCTTTACTTTGAGTGACAAGGTTGCTATGTTGCGCAAGGAGATGCCAAACCTGAAGCCTAAAGTGTTGGTGACTCGAATGTTTTTGGAGTGGCAATTTTTTATTGTAGGTCGATTCGTCCTATTCACTTGGTGAAAAGGGGCACAATGTCCTCCAACCTCCTTTTAGACTCTATATATAAGCATTTCTAGAAAGTGAATGATAGAAACTCACTCGTATGCGATACATAAAAATATAACTGCAAAAGCAATAAAACATTCTATGCCATATATACTCCTAATTTTTATTTGTAGCTTATGTTTTTTCCATTTGGTTGTGGTGATTCCTTATTTCTTTTACCAATGATGACACTTCGTTGCTTACCAGTGGAGACTCTTTGATATTTGTTTGAGAGCGACTCTTCATTATCTATCTAAGAGCGACTTTCAATTATTTGTCTAAGAGAAACTCTTCATGAGGTGAGTGATCTAAGTTAAGAGGATCTTTTCATAATGATGAGAGAGCGAGGTGATATCTTGCTTATTAATGAAGAATATGACTCATTCCTTGAAATTCAAGCCACTATTTTTCCTATAAACACCCTCTCAACCTTTGACTGAGGTATTTCTTCCTTCATTTCTTAGGCAAAATTCTCTCTCCTCTTAATCTCTCTCTTCCTTTTCCTAACATTGGTGCTCCCGTAAGAGATGACTACTTTAAGGAGATGCCACAAGGCCTTCAGCAAGTTTGAGTACTACCATGCCATACTAGCGAACTACTCATTGTTATGATCTTTTTGGAGTAATGCAACATAGATTGCAATCTCATGGCATGAGTTCCCTCGGAGGTTGAGTAACTTAATACATTATAGAAGGATAAACTATGTTTCCCTTACGACCATTTAAAGCTCGACCCATGGTTCCCTCTATATCCTGTGCTCATTAAGATCATGATTTATGGTTTTGTGCATGCACAAATCATGTCGAACTATGTGGCAAGTGTAGTGACATTCCTCTCCCACTTGCAGCAAGAGAAATTTAGGTAGAGCCTCGCATTGTTCAGCCATGTTCAGCCATATCTTTGTTGTGAAGGCATTTAAATATGGAAACATTCAATTCTCCTCAATCCAGGTTACAGGTAGAGCAATCCTCCCCTTGATCTCTCATTGCTCACTCGAGAAACCGTAGAAAAAACCTATAAAGGAAGTAAGTTGAGAGGCAAGCACGTTCATCTTATCACAAAAAGCTTAAAAATGATGTTAACATAACTCTTTGTATCAATAAGGATGCTATATGTTTGATAATTGGCGATCAATACAGTAACCACCACTACATCGTTGAAGGGGTTACCACTAACCAGCTTGTCCACTTTACTGAAGGTAATCCGAGCGACCTCTATTACAAGTTTTATGGGCATATTAGCCAAGTTAAACTCTCCCAAGCATTTTCACTTGAGGCTAGGTCGCAAAGATATCTTGGCTCCATATTATTCAAGGGTTTAATGTGGATAGCATGAGCAGGAACTAGGTCAATCTGCTGGTCCTCTACAAGAAGCTTCCCTGCTTGCTTGCCCAGGTCAACTAGGACTAAGTCCTTCAGTTTTTCTGCCTTTATCAAATCCTCCACTAGGCTTCGAAGGTACCTATATTTCCCACATTGTGCCTACGATCTTTATGGAACAAGTAAAATTTGGACATGTCCCTGTAGTTGGCGCCCACCTTCATCAACGTCAGACATTTAAAGAACTCCTTATTCTGAATGGCCTTTACTAAGGATAATGATAGTCAAGTATAGATGAGTGGGCTACACCCCCTCATATCTATGTATGCGAGTTGCGTGTGGTGCTTCCACCATTCATAGAGCAAGCGGTCCCATTATTCTCAGCATCCTTCCTAACAAGGTCCTCTATTGTTTGTGATGGCATCGATCCTATTGTGTATGCTATCTTCTATCCATTCTATGAGCTTTTATCATACTGATGATGTTTTGAATTATCATTTTTATTTACCTTTATTTTCTAGAAAATCAAAATTAATATATTTATTCTATAAGAAGTGTTTTTAAAAATTACCCAATTTATCCCCTTTTAAGTGTCATAATAACTCTTAGGATGAGGATATCCATGGAAAACGGATAGCTTTGACTAGGAAGAATCACTGAAATAATTGAGTCCTCATAACGCAAGTGCCTCCTCGAGTGTAGGCTTGGTAAGGCAAGTTCTCTAACTAAACTCGCATAGAATGTGTGCAACCTTGATTGGGTTCCCCAGACTGAGAGCTCCTAGATCGTGAGGTTCATTAGGGTGAATACCTTCCAGTCTCAATCCATGTTCTGGAAAGTAGCCCTTACGGCAAGGTGTATTTTGTGCAAGCATACCTCCTTGAGCGTCAACCTGCTTGCTACCTACAAGTTACGTACATAGGCCTGTATGGACATACAATCTCCAAGTTCCTAAGAAGGAAATTTCATAGTGGATTGTTGGTAAAGATCAAGTGCTGCAGTGTCCCCCACGCTACACATTTATATAGAGCCTAAAAGGCTGTTGCTTTTCCTCAGCAGAAGAGGTATACTTCCTCTTAACTTTTCTCTTAATGCCTAGTGGAGTGCCAACTCCACCTTTTCAATTAATAAAGATCATTTCCTTGAATTGAAGATACATAAACCATAAACCATAGCTACAAATTATCAAAATAGCAGTAATGGCGGCCGTAGCAATGAAACTAGGAGCCGCACAAGAAGAAGAAGAAGAAGAAGATGGAACTTTGACTACGAATGTACTAAAACCTGACAGGAGATTCGGAAACGGGGACGAAGGTGCAGTCCTCGCCGTCGCTCTCGGGAGGGTCGACGTTGAGATCGGCGATAATAACCGGCTTAGGCGGTCGCAGCGGCGGGCCCGGATCGTCCGGAGCCGGAGTCTTTGCGGCTGCCTGCTCGCCACTTGCTGCCGCCGGTTGTTCTTGTTGCATCACTACCAACGCTACTAGCGCCGGCTTAGCGCTCCGCCCCAAGGGTTTTGGTCGCCTCCTATGGGGCAGGCCGGATGAACCACACCCACTCTCAAGGGCTGGCTGAAATTAAGTGCAAAGTTTGAAGTACTAGCATTACCTATGAGAAATTTCGATTTTATAAGCTTAATAGAAGTCCTAATTAGAGAAATATTCTCAACATTTATTTATTTAAAAAAAAAAATATTAGCTGGATTAGAAAACGGAATAAATAATTGATTGTTCAAAAAATATATTTCTATATACAAAATTATAGAGAATGGTAATAATTAATTTAACTTGAAGAAGTAATGTATCATTTCCATGGAGCAAAGTTTATGATATTAATTACACTAACTGAGATAATAATAGGGGTGTCAATTTAGGTTGACGGGGCAAGTTCGGTTCGAATCTGAGTTGACCCGGATCTAAACGGGGCAACATGAACCCAACCCTTTTTTACAAAAGAGTCAGTTATTTCAACTTGGACCCGACCCGCGCAGTTTGCCGGGTTGACACGACCCAACCCTAATTTACATATTTGGCTGAAAAAGTGCGAGCTGAGCTCCCGTTGTCGGCGGCAAAGTGGCGGCAGCGGCGACGCAGGGGTGCAGCGGCAGTGACGGCGCAGGCGCACAGCAGCAGTGGTGGCGCAAGCGTGCATCTGCAGCATGTGAAGCGATGCGAAGTGACGCACCTGTCAGACAATGAACGCGAAGCGACTTGACACGTCAAGCAACACGGGCAGCAGCAGATGCAAGCAAATAGTTTCCAAGTCATTTTCAGGTCATTTTTGAAATGATCCAGAGGCAAATCGTTTCCCAGTCATTTCCGGGTTCGGGTTTCCAGGTCAACCTGAACTCGACCCGATTTTTGAAATTGATCGGTTTGTTAAACCCAAACCCGACCCGTTTTACAAACGAATCGACCCAAATCCAAAAAATTTCGGGTCAAGTTTTGGGTCATGTCAAAAATTGACACCCCTAGATAGCAATAGAATATAATCTTTGTTTAATGAGATATTCATATAGAGGCTTAAATGAGTCAAGCCGTTTTATGATTTGGTTCGAGCTCAGCTCGATAAATGACTCGTGAGCTAAGCTCAATGAGCTAACGAGTCAAGCTTGAGCTAGCACCGACTCGGCTCATTAGCTCGTTAGACGACTCCTTTAAAAAATATTAATGTAAAATATGTTTAAAATATATTAGGATTCAAGATTTTATATATAAAGTTTTTAAAAATGTTTGAAAATAATATCTCATTTTCTTATATTAAGTTATTCTTTATTATCTTTCTTATAATTTCTCTTTTTTTCTTTTTTATTATAAATAATTGTTTAAAACATAATTGGTTTTTCTCTTTCATAATAAATGAATAAACTTGTGAGCCGGCTCGAATTCATTGGATAAAGCTCAAGCTTGATTAAGTAATCAAGCTCATGCTTAAGCTAGGGGTAACTCGAGCTCTAATCAACCCGTTTGCACCCATATATCCACATATATTAAGCACATATCTCTCATTTGTGTGTCTAATGCTCAAAAAAATATTTTAATATCATAATGTAGTAAAAATGATGGTGATGGAAGGTTAGTTAGTCCAACATCTTTCAAAGATTTAAGAGTTGATGAAAATGATAATGTGGACAAATAGGATGTAGATGAAGATGTTATTGTGGATGTAACTCCAAAAAATGTGACCATTAACAAGCTCAATACTAGATCATTGACATGTAACCATGGAGAAAACCATTTGATCTAGACCTAATTTGAAGCCAAAGATGATAATATCAAACATTAAGAGGGATTATATCATTGCTTTAAGGCTTAGTAGTGCCATGAACAATCGATCACATACGTAAGAGGGCCCCCTAAAATTATTTTTTAGGATTTATCAACAAATGTGATTGTTGTTGGAACATTCTCAATGGTAGAGATATAGAGAGTTTAACATCATATCTTTGTACTAAGACCCAGAACACACAAAAATAAGAGCATATTGCAAGAATTATAAGAGACACTAGAGTTTTTACAAGAAAAACCATGGGATCTTGCTTGGTTTAAATTATTCCACTATTGTTTTTTATTGATTACAAATGATGCCCCTCCTCGAGGGAAGGCATTGTTACATTATAAAAAGCATATTACTTGGTTTAATTTAAAAGAGCCCTATGATAAAATCTAGCATAAATCCTAGTGTTAAAGTTGAGAGTCATTGTTGATATCAATATTGTGTATTGTGACTAAAGAGGGAGTTGAAGGTAAATTTGAATTATGGAGATCATCCTTAGAGTCTGAAGGATTTCGCTTGAGTATGTCTAAAACTGAATATATAGAGTGTAACTTTAGTAGTAATATACCTAGTGAGGGGATTATGACATTGGGTGATCAAGTCGTTAATAAGAATACACATTTTAGATATCTTGAATTTATTGTTCAAAGTAATGGTGAAATAGATGAGGATATTATCAGTAGAATTCAAGTTTGATGGTTGAAGTGGAGGAATGCATCGGGCATGTTGTGTGATAGAAAAGTCTACCTGAAACTTAAGAGAAATTCTATAAGATGGTGGTGAGACTAGCAATGCTTTATGGTGTTGAATGTTGGCCATTAAAAGAGAAGCATAATACTAAGTTTAGTGTTACAGAGATGAGGATGCTTAGGTGGATGAGTGGCTTTACTCTTAGAGATAGGATACAAATGAGCATATTCGTGAAAAGGTTGGTGTAGCTCCGGTGGAAGATAAGATTAGAGAGAGTCTACATAGATGGTTTGGTCAAATAAAATGGCGGCCTTGCAATGACCCGGTTAGGAAAGTAAAGGTATTAGATTTGACTTATGTTAAGAAAGGTAAAGGTAGACCTAAAAGACTTGGTTATGGAATATTAGAAATGATATTTCCTTATTAGATTTAAACTAGAATTTGATTTTAATAGGATACAATGGAGAAAAAGGATCCATGTAGCCGACCCCACGTTGTGGGACAAAGGCTTGATGTTGTTGTTATTATTGTTGTTGTTGTTAAACTTATAAGTGATAAAGTGTGTTGTCATGATTAACAATAATTGGCAATGAAGATAGTAGGCATCAGAGTAGACTAGTGATAATAATTAGAAGATTATAAGTCGAAGGACTATTGTTGGGTGATGGAGGTCAAAGGTATGTCAAATGATGGTGTTCAGTGATCATTAGTCGAGTGATTATGGTCAAAGGAATGTAGTAGGCAGTGAAGGACAGTGAAGAGTAGTAGGGAAACTTTAGTTAGAGAATTATAGTCGAACTTTGTGAGGACTGTAACCAGAAGACAGTAGTTCGAGGGACCAAAATAAGATGATAGTTGTGATGCCCAAAGATCTAATTGATGATTAAATCCCAAAACCAAAATTTTCTCAACCATAATGCTAAATAAAAAGAGCCAACTAAATAATTCATACTAAATTGAAATAAAAATATTTTGATATTGTATCACACCTGGTTGGTGGAAAATATTTTGGTATTATGTCACACATGGTTGGTGATTGTATCACTCAAGATTCATTTCTAAAAAATTATATTTAATAATCAAGTTTGTATAAAGTCTATACATAAAAAAATAAGTAATTAGATTACAAAATACCTATGAAATATGGCCCTGATAATTCTAACCTTTTTAATTTTACTCCAGTGGACACTTTCTTTTTCCTTAGACATCAAAAAAATTCCTTAGGGTGAGCATAATAAGTTCGGTATACTTCATTCACATTCCCATCACATATAGCAATATTTATTTTATTATAAATAGTAAATTATTCAAATACTAAGTTAAAGCATCAAAGTACATACTAGGTGTTAATGAAAGTACTTATATAACATTTAACATATTTGTATTTTAGAAATATCAATGCAGAAATTGCTCCTTGACTTTACACATAATATTTGCCTTTATTACCTTTCAAAGGAATGCTTTTACAAGGATATTAAGATATGCTTATAATCAGAGATATCACTTAAACTTTCATAGATGTATCAAACCTATCATGACATACTTATTTTGAGAATATTTATTACACTTGAATTTATTTAAATTATCAAAATATGTGAAGCATGAATCTATAGTGCACATATCTCGATGTTTTCTTATAATTTTACTTCCACTTATAACTTTCTTTAAGCCTCTCAACCGACGTAAAGTAAGTGGGGGTAGAAAGCCTCCAACATCTATATACAACAGAAGGGTCAAAGCAGAACAAATAGAGCCCTTATTGAAAGTTTAGTAGTTGGTCGTAAAACCAATTAAACATTGAAATGACACACCAAGAGGGGGTGAATTGGTGATTTAAAATCTTTTAAAAAATTCTTTTTGATTAAAAACTAAAATAAAAAATTAATGCAAAAGCATTTTAATAAATGAAAGCACAACTCACAAAAATAACCCAAAATAAATATTCATCTTTTTGTATTTTTTATTTTATAGAAAAAGCAAATAACAATGTTTGTTTTATTTATTTTTCTAATTTTTAATTTTTTTAAAAATAAATATCAATCCCAATCAACCATAATGATTTTTATATCATAATGATAATCATCCTCAACCTAGATTGCAGAAAAATAAATATAGAAAAGTAAAATTGTAGAAAGTAAATATGAAAGAAAAAAGAATGCAAACTAATTTTTATAATGGCTTAATCAACTTGTCTTATATCCACTCTCCAAAGTTTCTATCTTCTAGTATTTCACTAATCAATAGTGACACTCCTGCCCATTACTAGGCGGAGAAGCTCTTACATAATCTTCTTTCCAAAAGAATATCTCCTTTCACCTCCTTTGTCGAGTGGAGTCAATAAAATCCTTTTCACCTCCTCGATGCATCATAGTAGATGAAATCTCTTTTATATCATTGGTGCTATAGAGTAGCCAAAATTCCTTTCACATCCTCGGTGTGGTAGAAGAATCGAAATCCCTTTCACGTCTCGGTGTGATGAAGTAGCCAAAATTCATTTTACCTCCTCGGTGTGATGGTGAAGCCAAAACTCCTTTCACCTTCTTCATGCGATGAAGTGGCCGACTGCCTTTGACATCAAAGGCTTCTTTATAGAGTTTTCCTCAAGATAAACATCGGCACACCTAAAGGA